TGGAATTTTGAGGGGATGTTTTCTGACAGTTCTGGCAGCCAGTCTGAAATTCTTTCAATTAGAAGCATCTGCCGAAAAAACCGATGCCGGTAGCGACAAAAACTGCGGGGAACACTCTGCAAAAAAAAGAAGCATCTGCCGATAAAACCGATGCCGGTAGCGACAAAAACTGCGGGGAACTCTGCAAAAAACGTCGCACCGGCAGCCCGTGCGTTGGCCAGTTTTTTTCTTTGCTTCCTTTGTTTTGATGCCATAGTTTAGATGTTGAGACAATACATAGCAAGAGAATTACGAAAGGCAGCCTTTGCGCTGATATGTGCCGAACAGGCTTCTGGTTATTGGGCTTTCGTTTTCGCTATTTCTACCAAAACTATGGTTACGCCATCTCAATGATGTTCCTGGGATGATGTTAATGCGGGATGCAGCTATGCCATTTTGTTCGACCCTGGGCACCTAAAACTTTTCTCTCTCCCCATGCACCTGGAACATTTTTTCTTTAGCTTGTATGTGGTAGCACTATGATGTTTCGTTTCGAATTTAGAAAATTTCCGTTACTGAAGTGTTTGCATAACTCGGCACATCACCAAAACTGACTTTCCATTTTTTTGGCTGAGAACGACCGAGCTTTTTACTCCTCGGATTAGTTTAGATAACGGCACGAGTGAGCTACACTGTCAGCAGTGTTGATAGTTGTATCATATTTTGTCCACTGTTGGTGTAATTGGTATTTTTTGCAGGTTGGACTGCCTAATAAGCGAAGGCACAAAACTGCCTCGTACCGCTTCTTTGGATCACTTCAATTCCTTTGCGAAAGGCATTTTGTTCCACAGGATCGGCGATGCACTTCTTCTTCGCGGAAGCAGGGTTAGTTTTGATGCAGAGATCAAATTTTACTAAGATAGTGCAATTATATCTTCGCTTGTCCGAGTGGTTTTCCTTTTCCTGTCAAAATCAGGCACCGGTTCGCTTCGTTCACCTTCTCTGAGATGTGGCACTTGGAATCAGTCCGAGTGTGCCACCAGAGCAGCTATTTGCTGTCAAGGCTGTCTACGGTGCCCTATTCAAGAGCATACGGATGATTGTTTTGCTGACTGTTTTCTACTGTAAATGAGAATATATTGGCTTGAGAAGTTAAGTTATTCCGCGCTAATCGCATTCTTTTTATTAGCTGCCGTTCCACAGTGATGCACCATCGATAAGTTGGCCTTCGTTGTTACTACTTCTAGCAGTGCTGCTGCCCTACCTGTTTATTGTTTCTGGTTTCATTCCACTGTTTCCTTCGTCGTTTCGTAGATAAATTTTGGTTGCATTCCGTCCTCCCGGGTTAAATGCTCGTTTTTTGGCTCATCAAGCACATATTTTGCATATGGCCGCTACATGTGCAAGAAGGATTGCTGGCCTGCCTATCACTTAGCATCTTTCTTAAAACGTTTTTGACCATTGCAGATATTACGTTGTTCTCACAGACGCGAATTAATTTTAGGTGAAAGAGCACAGTGCAAAATATGAAAAGTTGTCGTATGCAAGCTACTTGGTTGCTTTCGATATCCTCCACAAGGCATCCTCAATTTCACCTCTTCTGGCTGCTCTGTTCGTTCTTGAAACGCTTACACTGCGTACCATTCTACGATATTTCAACGCAGCAAAGATTTCTGAGGAGCTTACTGAGCAGGTCCAATTTTGATAGTTCCTGTCTACTTTGATTCTTCGTTTTTAAGGAACGTGCCACCAAATTGCCTGAAAATATGTTCATTTCAGTGATTTTATTTTCAATTTGTGGAGTTTTTTTTTCTCTCCCTCTCTCCGAGTCTTTATGAAATGAGCTTGAAACGGACCTATAAAGGTTCAAACAGTGTTTTACGTGCATCTTTCAGGTGGGCAAGCGTTTGTATAAGGCGTGCGTCAAGGCAGGTGCGCCACTGTGTTATGAGAAATCGTTTATGCTTTCCGTAAACGCACTTCCGGCGGCGCGCAACTACGAAACACATGTTGTGGCACAAAATGAAATTGCTAGTAAGTTCAAGCTTTTTTTGCCCCCCGGCACACTCGTTTGCTTAATTTTAAAGCTAATCGTTTGCCTTCCCTTTTCCCTCGCCCCCTTCCCATTCTTAACTTTGTCATTTTCCTCGACTAATCACCGCTTTCAAATGCAAATACACCGTTTGTGTCAATCCAGGCGTATCACCTTCATTCTATAACAGCAGTCCATCCTTGCAGTTAGTTGTTTGATCATTACCACTGAGTTTTTATGCGTTTTGTGCTGTGTAACAGCGTTACAAAATGCATATTGTCACGGAGTTGTCTGTGCGTGTGTGTGTTTGTATGTATGTGTGTGTGTTTGTGTGTATGTCTCACATTTTGTCCCGCACTTTCATCTCAGGAACCACAAAAGCTAGGCGGCTGAAATTTTGGTATAGTGTTCCCCGCCAACAGGTGACGCGGAAAATTTAAATTCAGCTTTCCCTTACCCGCGGGTAACACGTACGGCCCCGTGAAAGTTTTTTACGGGTAAATTAATGTCTCAGGAACCACGGAGTCTAGGAGGCTGAAATTTTAGGGTAATGACCCCCTGCCCGTGCTCAACCTTGCCTATTCAAATCCAGCGTTCCCTCGCTGTTGGATATCACCTACGGGTTCGTGAGAATTTTGACGGTTAAACTATTAATTCGGGGATCACGGAAAGTTATTCACCCTTCAAGGTTTCGAGTTCGGCTTTCATGCGCTGGTGCATGAAATTTTTAATTATTTTCCAATGTTTAAACTATTTTTGCACAGACAAAAGTACAAAGCAGTGAAAATCATTAACAGGCGATCGTTCGATGGGCTTAGTTGCACAACACGCATGATCGCACCGGCTAGTCTGGTGCGCGTTGCTACTTATTATTTTTCGAGTCCATTTATTCCGTAAAAATGGGGGCGATGTAGTTTACCTTCTTAGTCCCTTGACTCTCATTTGTGAGTTTGCACAGTAAAGTGTTGACTGACTGAATGAGAAAGTTGGTTTGAAGTGGCGTAATTTTTTTTAAGAGCTTTAAAAAATTTTTTTGGAGGACGAAATCAGCAGTGTTTTGGATTACCATTATTTTTTATTTGTTAAACTATTAAAAATTCTAACCGTTTGTTTGGCGTCATTCAGGGATGGTTATTTTGGCGGGCAAAAATGATTTTCTGCAGCATTTACTATGGCTTTTGGCTTATGACAGGAAAATACGGAGTGATGGTATGCAAGTTGGTCTTTCTACTCTGTGAAATTGCCTTTTACTAACAATTCCGAAAATGCATTTTTCTTACGTTTCAGTGGTAAATTAGTACTGAAAGGCGTCGTGGTACCAGCATTAGCTTGCTTCTAAGCAGCTTTTAAAGA